GCTCCGGCATTCTCGGCGGATTCTGCGGCGAACAGGGCATCACCCAGTCCTGGACGCTGCCAGAGTCCCCACAGCAGAATGGGGTTGCTGAGCGCCGCATAGGCTTGGTCATGGACATCGCCCGCACGTCCATGATTCATGCCCGTGCGCCCCATTTTTCTGTGGCCTCACGCGGTTCGCTACGCCGCACACCAGCTGAACCTCCAGCCGCGTGTCTCGCGGCCCGAGGCTTCACCGACCAGTCTCTGGACTGGATCCCCTGGTGTTGGGTCGGCCTTTCGAGTCTGGGGCTGCCTTGCACTTGTTCGCGACACCTCCGCGGACAAGCTCTCGGCACGCGCCGTCCCCTGTGTCTTCCTTGGTTTCCCAGTGGACTCTGCTGGACTGGTCCTTTTACCACCCTCCCCTCCACCAGTTCCTAGATTCCCGTGACGTCCGGTTTGACGAGTCCGTGTCCTACTACACCCGGTACCCCTGTCGAGGTCTCCCGGTACCCCCTCCCCCTCTCTTCCTCGCACCCTCTCCTCCTCCTGCTCCCGCTCCTCCGGTACCCCCGCCCCCCCCTGGTCCTGCCCCGTCTGGTGTGTCCCACGCTACCCCTCTCCCCTCGGTCGCGCGTCAGGTAGCGTCTCCCTCCCCGCAGTCCTCCTCACAGTCCCCTCAGCAGCCTTCGGCACTTCCGCGACAGGTTATTGTGGACTCGGTTGGTGTTGGAGCTGGAGGTGCAGCCGCTGGCGGTGCTCGGTCTGGGGGTGCTCGGTCGCGGGGTACTGGAGCTGGAGGTGCTGGCGCAGGTGACGCTAGCTCTGGGGGTGCTGGAGCTGGAGGTGCTGGCGCAGGTGGCGCTAGCTCTGGGGGTGCTGGAGCTGGAGGTGCCGGCACTGGAGGTGCTGGTTCTGGGGGTGCTGGAGTTGGGGGTGCTGGCACTAGCGGTGCTAGTTCTGGGGGTGCTGGAGTTGGAGGTCCTAGCACTGGCGGTACTGGTTCTGGGGGTGCTGAGTCTGAGGAGACTGACGCTGGAGACCCTGGTTCTGCGGAGTCCACCCCGCCCCCCCACCGCCACGACACGCGTCTCCAGGCTGCCCGTCGGTGTGAGCGTGAGGAGCAGGAGCGGTTGGAGAGGGAGCGGCAGGAGCTGCGGGTGCTGGACCTTCTGGAGCAGCAGCGGCAGCAGCAGCAGCAGCAGCAGCAGCAGCAGCAGCAGCAGCAGCAAGCAGCAGCAGCAGTAGCAGCAGCCGCAGCCGCAGCCGCAGCCACAGCCGCAGCAGCAGCAGCAGCCGCAGCCGCAGCCGCAGCGGCCGCAGCCGCCACCGCAGCTTCCTCTAGAGCGGCGGTTGTTCCCACCTGTGAGTGGCTTGCGGGCCCTTGGCCTTTCCTCCTCTCCTCCTGTCCGCTCCCAGTCTCCTCCTGTGTTTGTTCCTCCGTTGCCTCCTCCTGACGACCGTCCGGCGGTCTGGTCTTCTCCTCCTCCTCAGTCTCCTCCTCCCTCTGTCCGTCGCGACTTGATCACTCGTTGTCCTCCGCGTGCTCGTCACTCGTCCCCTGTTACTGACCTCCACACTGCCCTCCTTTGTTCGTCTCGTCGTCGTTCTCCTTCTCCTGTGTCCGTTCTCCCGTCACCTCCTCCGTCCTCTCTACCTGCCCTCCCCACTCCTATCTCTGACTACTACCGCGCTGTTCGTCCTGTTGCCGCACGTGTCCTCACCACTCTTGTCACCGACCCTCGTTTCCCTCCGTCGTCTGTCTCGGCTCTCACTGCCGCTGTCGCTGAGTTTGCTGCCGCCAGCCGCCTTGACTACACCACCCGTGTGGTGCCAGCTCCTCCCTACCGTCCTCTGTCCGTCGGGGGTGGGTTTGCCCTTGGCTGTGACGTCCTAGAGGACAGAGAGTCTGAGCTGGAGTACTGGGCAGCCACTTCTCCCTCTGTGTGTGCCATGCTGCTCTCCCCTGAGGGAGACCCCGACGCCCTTGACATACCGACTCCTCGCACTTACCGCGAGGCAGTGTCAGGGGCGTGGGCCTCTCAGTGGAAAGCGGCTATGGACTCAGAGTTGGCGTCTTGGAGATCCACAGGCACCTACGTCGACGCAGTTCCCCCTCCCAGGGCGAACGTAGTCGATGGCATGTGGCTCTTCAAGGTGAAGCGGCCGCCTGGAGCACCGCCGGTGTTCAAGGCGCGCTACGTGGCTAGGGGTTTCAGTCAGCGTGAGGGAGTTGACTTCTTCCAGACCTTCGCCCCGACCCCGAAGATGACTACTCTTCGGGTGTTACTCCACATAGCAGCGCAGCGAGACTACGAGCTGCACTCCCTCGACTTCTCCACTGCGTTCCTCCAGGGCCGACTGCACGAGGAGATCTGGCTGCGCCGTCCTCCTGGCTTCACTGACACCTTCCCACCTGGGACCCAGTGGAGCCTGAGGCGACCAGTCTACGGTCTCCGCCAGTCGCCCCGTGAGTGGCACGACACTCTTCGCTCCACGCTTTGTGACCTTGGGTTCAGCCCGTCCTCCGCCGACCCGTCGCTGTTTGTTCGAGCGGGTTCTACTCCTTTCTTTATCCTTGTCTACGTCGACGACTTGGTGTTTGCTACAGCAGACAGGGCAGCCCTGGCTCAGGTGAAGTCCGAACTGCAGAAGAGACACAAGTGCACTGACCTGGGTGAGCTGCAGCGCTACCTTGGCCTGCAGATCACCCGGGACAGAGCCGCTCGCACCATCAGACTGACGCAGTCACACATGGTGCAGCAGGTCCTTCGGCGGTTCCACTTCCAGTTCTCCACCACACAGCCCACTCCTCTTGCTGTTGACCACAGACTCACGGGCCCCTTTCCTGACGAGCCCTTTGAGTCCAGTGGACCCTACGCAGAGCTGGTGGGCTGCCTCATGTACCTGATGACTTGTACTCGACCGGACCTCGCCTTTCCACTCAGCATCCTTTCTCGCTTTGTTGCGACTGGGAGACACCGCCCTGTCCACTGGACAGCTGCTGTGAGGGTGACGAAGTACCTGGCGACTACATCAGGCTTGGGGCTTGTGCTTGGAGGGACTCAGCCAGTGGCGTTGACTGGTCACTGCGACTCTTCCTACGCTGACGACGTGGAGACTCAGCGTTCGACTCAGGGTTATTGCTTCAGTCTGGGAGCTGGTGCTGTGTCGTGGAGGTCTACACGGTCGTCGTCTGTGGCTACTTCCAGTGCAGAGGCAGAGATCTACGCTGGTGCCATGGCGGCACAGGAGCTTCGCTGGTTGACCTTCTTGCTCGCTGACCTTGGTGAGCGGCCTCGCTCTGCACCGACCTTGTACGCTGACAACAAGGCCATGATCCTCCTGTGTCGAGAGCCTCGACTGGAGAGCAGAGTGAAGCATATTGACGTGAGGTACTTCCTCCTGCGAGAGCTGCAGCGACGCGGTCAGGCACGCCTGGACTTTGTGGCCTCAGAGGCCAACACTGCAGACGTCTTCACCAAGGCCTTGGCGCTTGGTGACCACCACAGGTTCTGTGTGCAGTTGGGGCTTGTTGAGGTAGGCCCTCGGTTGCTGTAGTCCTGTTGCTTGCTCTGCTTGTTGTGCTTTGTATTTATATCCTAGTGAACTCTTGAACTGGCCTTGTGGCCGCTTGCTTGCGCTCGGAATTTGTGTGGTGTCCTTGAGATCCACCTTGAGCTTGCCTTGGTTCTTGCTTTGACTGGTCTTGTGACCGTTTGTTCACCTTGCTTGCTTTGATGCCCCTCACTTAGCCTATGGGGGTGTGTCAAATGTTGAACATTGATATGATAGTCTCAAAGTTAGCGAACAACGGAATGATTGGAATAGAAACGAATGGGGTACAAATGAGCAACCCTAGAAGCTGTACCCCCTAGAGTGCAACTCACTATAGCCTATCATGGCAATGTTCAACATTTGACAGAGAAGCCAGCGTCTTGGTCTGGCACTGCCGAGTAGCAAAGAAGATCCACTCCAGGTTTGGAGCAAGAATGAAGGGCGGCTTTATCGCCTCAAGCTCATTTCTGCTCCTTGCCTTTTCCTCCACAGTAGAAGGTCGCCTCGCCCTACCACTTCTCGTGCCCCTCACACCAACTGCAAGGATGTGAAGGCGGCTCCACTCTGCATCCACGTCCTCCAGAGGCCAGCCGTGCCTCACTATAAGCGTTTTCACTGTTGGCGCGAAAGTGCTAAGTAGCTGCGTTGAAGAAACTGCATCCGGATCCGTAAAATCCGAGGCGTGGGGACCATTCAGAACAACAGTTTTAACAGAAGCGAGTGGTGGGAGGGAATAAACGACAAGCTGCTTGTGGCCAATGAGAGCGAAAGAGTTGAGAGAGAGAGGCCTGGAGCCCTTGCAGTGGACTCCCAGCTCCTCTGCCTTGATAGTGAGTATCTTGAGCGTGGGAGGCAGGGAGAAGAAAGCAGCAAGAGTGCACTGCTCACAACTGACTTTGATATACTGAGCAACAGAGAACTCGAGTCGGAGGCTGCAAAACGTAGAGCTGGAGGAGGAGAAAGAAAACTCATGCAGCTGCGGTGCGATGGAAGACAGAAAGTTGTAATCGTTTTCATTGCAGCCCGCATGCGCGATGGTCAAGCACCTTAGCGCCATGAACCATGCCGCATTCGCACTGCGTAGTTCCCACCTCCCACGGCCTAGCTTCAACTGCTGCAGCTGCTGAAATCCCTGAAGGAAGTACAGATCCATCAGTTGGCACTGGATAGGCCGTCGCACACATGAATCGACAGGCCTAAGGCACAAGCTTGTGAGGGATCGGGACGAGGATGCCATGAACCGGCTGAGGGTCTCGAGGTCTTCCAAGCGGGTGAACTTAACGTAAATCGAGTTGAGAGCAGTCCGTTTGAGGATGAAGGAGAGAGTTTTTTTCCACTGGGGCTCCTGACTGTCGAACACGAACGAGATGGGCTCGAGCTCCTGCCCACAAAGAGCGACATCCGGAGGAAAAACGTTCTATGGCATAACATACATGCATGGGGAACAAGCGCATGACTCACGGAGAAGGACGCGACATGGTAGAGGAGCCGCTTGCTGGCCATGGCACAGCGCAGCACAGGCCAGGAGGAGCCGAAGCGCCTTATGCCCTTCTCATGCTCCTCCCTGGCAACCTGCTGAGTGCAAGCGGGTTTATTGCCGCAAATTTCATCGACAAAGTTGCGCAAACTGCTGCTTGCTCCCCGTGATGACGCTTCCTGAGAGGATTCGCCCCGTTTCTTCAGCTGAGAAGAGGTGGCTGGCGGCAGCAGCAGGAGGCGGAATATGATGTGCCAGATGGGGCCGGGCAGCAGATCAACCACGTCTAGATCCTGGGCCTGGTGGGTTGGTGGGCGGAGAAGCATTGGAGATGGGAGGAGAGGCGGCGGTAAATATGAGAGTGAAATCGAGAGTGAATTATGGAGGTGATGCGAAACTAGAGGTCCGGATGCGGCATCACGCTCACCTCGTGCGAATCTCCAGCAACAGACGGGTCTGTGAGTTTGAGTGCACGCACCCTCTCCTCCAGCACCGAATCCCCATGGCTAGTAGTAGCCATACTAGGGGCCGTAACAACTGGACTCGATTTGTTCAGGTTTAAACCACTCGTCTGTCGTTCGAGTCCAGAGGGACACACGAAATCGAAACATAGAATAGCTATGTCTGGCCAAGCCGCTTGTGATAACTATAATTGACTTCCCAAGGAGCCATTAGGCTATTGGTAAGAGAAGCAGAGGCCTACTGGCGGTGAGGTTGCTTACATTGCACCGCTCGTCCCGTGCTTGCACAAGCTTGAAACCGTACCCTCACTGGTCAGGGCTCGGGTACGACGACGCCTGTCATCGCCATGGCGGTGCCAGCAAACAGCGGCGCGACGGGCTGACCGAGTCCGCGAAGCACAATGAGGCCGCGGACCGGCGGGGGGAGTGGACAAAGCGTAAGTACGGCGCGGGTAGACCTGCGGGGTGTTCCGCGGGGTTTTCCGCGGGGTGCTTTTGAGCGAGCTTCTTTTATTGGAGCGACGGATGCGAATTGTCGTTCCTGTCAAATCTGAACGCATCGTAACAATGAACGGCGATAATCCAGCTGCTGCTTTGGCTCCGACAGCTGGCGATTGGGTTCCAGGCTTCAGAGGCTGACAAGTGGCAACTGCAACGGTCTCATTGGACAAGCACCTCACGCTCATTCCTGAACAGTTTCGAAACTCCTAGGAATAGATCCTAAGTGACATCGACAAGCACCTCACGCATCATACAACCCGTGGTCGCGCCGCTAGAAGCAATACCACTCGTCGACATGAATCCGTGAATCGCGTTCATCGCATCGCTGGACTCTCGAGTCTGCCGAGTTTGCTACGCTTCACTCACACACCTCGATGAATTCGAAAGACCTTCGCTATACCCGTTTGAGGTACAGTGGGAGTCTATGGAGGATGTACTGCTCTTACAGCCATAATTCATTGGTGTGAAATGCCATTCGGACAAAAACTATTGCGACAGGGAGAAGGGTAATTTTTTACAAAAGTATTGTGATATAATAAGCTCCTAGCCCTAGCTTCACAAAATTTAAAAATCCTTATGTAAGAGTTTGACCAGGGAGGGTAGGTCATGTAAATCCTTCTGCCCCCTCTGCCGTTATTGTATTGATTATGCCTGTGCGTGCACTACTTGTGACGGTCGTGCGTATTTCCTGCTCGATTGTAAGCTTCCACAGCTGCAGCACCAGCACGCAACTAGGAGCAGCAGCGGAACTATCAGCTCTTCATACTGGTAACAGATCCCTCCAACCCTCAATAACATGCGCCAACTTAAAGCTCCACTGGAAGCTTCCTGCCACCCAGCCTTGTCTGTCCACATCCCATTGGCTGCTTCCTTTGTGCTTCCTTCGTGTGCTGCCACGCACCATCACGAACCCCTCGCTCTTCCACCCATGCCTTCCCATCCTCTTTCTGCTGCTCACCCACACAAAAGGAGAACCTTCCAGGATGGTTCGGACTGAGAGCCTCTTATGTAACGGATCTGCCTGGTAGAGGTGGGTTGGGAGGGGGGGAAAGGGGAGGGGTGGTTTAGGAAGATGGCTTGGTAGCATGAAGAGACGCAGCGGGGTGCAGTGGAGGGGATGGTAACTATCGAAAGGTAGGAGTTGGAAGGGAAGGGGGAGGTGAGGAGAGGGCTGTGAGGAGGACTGTAGACGCTGGGAGGAAAAATCGCAAAAAACATGTCCCCAACACGATGTTTCTATTTTTAGGGTCTGTAAAGAACACACACAAAGAAAAACAAGGGGGGACGGAGGGGGAGGGAGGGAAGGGGGGAGGGGGGAGAGGAGGGGCAGCCAAGACACATGTGCACTACAACCCCATCTGGACTCAATCAGTTCCTTCACTTACAAAGAAATACATGCAAGCTTACTCGAGGAACTTTTGAAAAGTCAACATCAATCCAGAAGTGCGGCAAACCCCATCCGAACTCTCTTTTCTTTCTATGGAGGAGTGAATGCATGGGTAGGTGAAGTGGCCTCTAAGCATAGCTGGGTGCAGGAAGAACTGAATGCGCGGACGAGAGCGTCTGAGCAGGAAAGCAATCTTGATGCGGAACAAGTGGGAGGGACAAAAGTGGAAAGAGAAACAAACAAAACATGAATAGATAACAACCAGCCATCAGGAAAATCATCTGCTTTACTGTGCTAAGCTGTCGAGCGCCGGCCCTGTGCTCTGACAGCAGGAAGCAGGCAGGAAGCAGGAGTCAACAGCAGTCAACAGCAGTCAACAGCAGTCAACAGCCGTCAAACAGCAGGCAGAAGCAGGTAGTAGGCAAGCCAATCATGACACCCACAGGTAGTAGCTCCGTCAGCAGCATGATCATTAGTTGTCTAGCTGTACATGCACCACATACGATGCCCACCATCGCCATCCCCACTGCCAGCACCCATCACCATCCCCATCACCACCTATGCCACCACTCGGGTACACACCACCCCATGGCCACCGCTACTGGCACCACCTAGCAGCCTTACCTACCCTTCCCTGCACCACCTCCCTCTCCCACCTGTGTATGGCACCACCTAGCAGCCTTACCTACCCTTCCCTGCACCACCTCCCTCTCCCACCTGTGTATGGCACCACCTAGCAGCCTTACCTACCCTTCCCTGCACCACCTCCCTCTCCCACCTGTGTATGGCACCACCTAGCAGCCTTACCTACCCTTCCCTGCACCACCTCCCTCTCCCACCTGTGTATGGCACCACCTAGCAGCCTTACCTACCCTTCCCTGCACCACCTCCCTCTCCCACCTGTGTATGGCACCACCTAGCAGCCTTACCTACCCTTCCCTGCACCACCTCCCTCTCCCACCTGTGTAACTTGGTTCGATTCACTAATCTTACCGAATCTCCCAACATATGAAGAAGCTCAGAGGGTTTGAAGGATTCGCATGATCCGGTCATCCCAGGCCATGTCTGGGCTCACGGTGAAATCTTGCTCTAGCCTCTCTTGCATCACCGGCTCATAACTCAGCTGCTCCCCCTCCTCCTCCCCCTCCCCCACCCCTTCACGCTCCCACCAAAACGACCGCCCAACAATGCAATAGAGCACAAGAAACCAGAGTGTCAAGGCGCCATTGCCGAGTCGCAACGAAAATAGACTGCAGATTTGGAGCATTGATGAAGGAAGGGCTTATTCCTTCATCCTTGCTGCTGCTGCTGCTGCTGCTCTTCTCACCACCTCCACTTTCCCTCCTGTCGTTCACAACAATGGCAACGAAGCGCAGGCGACTCAATTCAGCAGCAGGCTCCTCCTCTAGCGGCAAGCCATGCCTCACTGTGAGCATCTCCACTGGTGGCGCTATGCTGCTCCGTAGCTGCGTCACGAAACGCCGAGTGGCAATCAACGTATGTGGAGAGATGGCCTACGGTGGGAAGGCGAACGGTCCGTTCACATGGGCATCTTTGGCAGAAGACAGAGAGAGCGAAAAGATCACAAGTATTGTCACCCGTGCCACTTGACAGACAAGAGTTTAGAATTTGCTGCTGCGCGAGACATCACATTCAGTTTTGAAAACTAGAGGCCAAACCTCCGCCTCTCTCTCCCTCCCTGCTTGAGGAATTTCTCCCTCTCAGCCGAGGAACTGGAGATTGAGTGTGACTGCTCTAGCCCTCTCTCTCTCGACTCTCTTACTCTCTAGCTCACGAGTCGAGAGAGAGAGAGAGCGCAAGAGCAGTCACACTCAATCTCCAGTTCCTCGGCTGAGAGGGAGAATTTTCTCAAGCAGGGAGGGAGGGAGAGGCGGAGGTTGAGCCTCTGGTTTTCGAAACTGAATGTGATGTCTCGTGCAGCAGCAAATTCGAAACTCTTGTCTGTTAGGTAGCACGGGTAACTGTTTTTGGAGGAAAGAGAGAACTCATGCAGCTGTGGTGTGATTGCCGACAGAAATCTAAGATTTATTCATCGCACTTCAAGTAGGTAATGCTCAGAGTCTGAGCCTCAGACTCCTCAGCGCCTTGAACCATGCAGCCTCCAGGTTGCCCAGCTTCCACCTCCCCCAACCGAGCGTCAGCTGATGCAATGCAACCGTTCAAAACTCCTGAGAAACGCCGGGTTGCTAACCCTTTGTGCGATACGTACCTCCTCGTAAGACGAACCCCTGAACCCAAGGCTCAGGCTCGTGAGGGAATGCGCAGACGATGCCAGAAGGTGGCGGAGGCGCTGCAGATCCCTGGAGCTGCTGAAAGTGAGATCGAGGGACTTGTGAGCTGTAAATATGAGGAACCATGAAAGAGCTTGTGTCCATTGGATCTCCTGACTGTCATATACAAGGGAGATGGGCTCCAGTTCCTGCACACACAGAGAAGAAACGTGACTCTGGAAGCTGTTTCAGTAATGATGACAGAGGACTATTTAAGCAACAGCTCAGCATCCGAAACGTGACTTCCATGCGGTTAACTAGGTTTCGCAGGAGGCTCTACGCGTGAGCGAAAAATCAGCGCATAATGAGTCACGAAGTCGGAGATGACATGGTGGGGGACGCGAAGGTTGTTAGGAACCAGCGCAGTGCAGCACTCACGGAGAAGGAAGTGACATGGTGGAGCAGCCTCATGCAGACCATGGCGTAGCGCAGCAGAGGCCAGCAGGAGCCGAAGCGCCTTGCGTTCTCCTCATGCTTCTTCCAAGCAAAATGCTGAGTGGAGGCGGCAGAGAAAGCGCTGCCGGCTTCCCGCTGAAATGCGTCCAGAGCGGGCCGCAGCAGGTGGCGGAAGATGATGTGCCAGATTGTGACGGGCAGAAGATCAACCACGTCTGCGCTCTGGTGGGTGGGAAGAGGAAAACAGTCAGAATGAGGGGAAAAAATAAGGCAGCGGGGAGTGGGTGAGGACTAGGCGAGGATGTGCGAGGAAATGGAAGGATTGGATGGACAGTCTGCGGCATCACGCTCACCTGGTGATATTTCTGAGCAGCACAAGACTATGTGAGTTTGGGAGCAGCCACGCTCTCTTCCAGCTCCGTGAGAACCAAAGGATTGGATTCGGCCAGGTCGACTCATCGGATGTTCAAAGACAGAAGGTCACAATGAAAGAACAGGCACAAGATCCCGTTATGGTCTATTAAGAATGAGGCCGCCTTAGGTGGACAATTTATTCAGTGAGGGTGAGTTTTGAGTTTCGGAACCTCTCTCCTGCTCATCTCTCGCATCGCTTGCTATGAGGTGATCACTTTTGAGAAACCCTACAGGCTGCACTCGTCGGTCAGTGTCAGCCACGGCAGTCCTCCGCATCATGCAGCCCGTGTATGATGTCCTTCGGGTCGTCGACACGCGAGCTCTAGTTATGGGGCAAGTGTATGGCCTCATGCTAGAGGCCACGGTGAAGACCAACGTGGCGGCCCAGGCTGGAGGTAAGACATACCTTTGCATGCATGTACGCCTTTGGGAGTCGTGATTGCATGCACACCCCGTTCCTGCCCATGCTTACCGCCCTTCATCGTGTTTGTACTTCCCATTGACAGCCGCCATGTTTGTCAAGCGCACGGAACTGCTGTTGGCAAAGGACAAGCCCGCATTCCTGGCGGAAGTCAAGGCTATCCTAGTCAAGAGGTGGGACAAGCAGCTGCATAACCCACTACACGCTCTCGGGTGGCTCCTCAACCCCCGCAATCAGTACGTGGGGGAAGTGCGGGAGGATGAGGAGGTGAGGAGTGGGGCGGAGGCGGTCATCCACAAGGGCGAGGGGCTGTTGGGGTCCCCCGATGCACGGTGGGCTGCAAAGGTCTTGGTGGCGGGTGGGCGCCAAACGGATGCCGAATGGTGGTGGATGTATGGCGGGGAGGTGAAGGCGCTGCAGTCGCTGGCAGTGATGAACCTGTCACAGCCGGTAACGTCATCCGAGGTGGAGCGTTACTGGTCCGCGATTGCTCGTGTGCAACGGCGTGACCGTAACCGCATCTCCGCCAAGAAGATGACGGACGTGACCTATGTCGCGTTCATGAGGAGGGCTCGGGACACCTTTGACAGGAAGCAGAAGGTGAGGGAGAAGCTCTACGCCGATCTGAGCAACGGCACCCTCAAGGAAGGGAGTGTCGTCGCCCCGGCAGAGGAAGTGGTGGAGGAAGAGGGGGCTGAGGAGGAGGGAGAGGTGAATGTGGCATGCACCATTGACTGGGACCTCTTCGGGCAGATTGGCAAGAAGAAGAAAAAGGAGCGTGAGAGCTCCAACAGGAAGAGGAAGGGCAAGGCGACCAAGCCTAGCAAAGGTAAGAAGAAAGCCGCGGCAGCGCGTGAGGATGAGGAGGAGGAGGCGGCGGACAGCAGTGGCGATGAGGAGGAGGAGGCGGCGGACAGCAGTGGCGATGAGGAGGAGGAGGCGGCGGACAGCAGTGGCGATGAGGAGGAGGAGGCGGCGGACAGCAGTGGCGATGAGGAGGAGGAGGCGGCGGACAGCAGTGGCGATGAGGAGGAGGAGGCGGCGGACAGCAGTGGCGATGAGGAGGAGGAGGAGGCGGCGGACAGCAGTGGCGATGAGGAGGAGGAGGCGGCGGACAGCAGTGGCGAGGAGGAGGAGGAGGAGGCGGCGGACAGCAGTGGCGATGAGGAGGAGGAGGCGGCGGACAGCAGTGGCGATGAGGAGGAGGAGGCGGCGGACAGCAGTGGCGATGAGGAGGAGGAGGAGGCGGCGGACAGCAGTGGCGATGAGGAGGAGGAGGCGGCGGACAGCAGTGGCGATGAGGAGGAGGAGGCGGCAGACAGCAGTGGCGATGAGGAGGAGGAGGCGGCGGACAGCAGTGGCGATGAGGAGGAGGAGGCGGCGGACAGTGTTATAGTCACAATAGGCTTGAATGTGCCTAAAACGAAAGATAGAGAGCACAGACGGATTTCTGCACAGCGGCTTCAAACGTTGATAGCGTTCTGCTCACAGCTGCAAATGACTTGATTCAAATTGGATCTGGAGCGTCTTCACGTCGTCTACAATTAGCAATTTAGATTGCACGATTTGATAAAGAATTGACGACACAGCGTCAGTTTGAACGAACGGTACTATGGCAGCCACTATAGTCTTAGAACACAAGATAGGAAGAGTTACGAGTTGGGAATGACTCCCAGCTCCTACAAACCCCAAGAGCCGAGGTACAGTGATGTGGAATAGCGCCACACTGTCCCCAACCACGAAGGGTCTCGAAACTAACCTTCACTAGGGCCTACACCAAGTGAAATGTTACACTACACAAAGTAATGTAACTATCTTCAATATCTTGAGGTGTACCCTTTTGGCAAGCTTCGAAATCACTTGAGGCTTGACACCAAGGCTCGGGCTCTTCATCACAAACTCATCCTTGAGTTCTTGATGGGTCTGCTGCACACACCTGCGACACGCCGAACGTTCGACACAGGACAAAATAGAAACCGCGCACGACAAAATAGAAACCGCGCGCGAGACACAAACGACCGCGTAACACGCGTCTAGCGATAACTCGCTATTGACTCGACACACACACTCGACATCATGACTCAACATTCACACACAATTATAAGCATGAAATATATATTATCCCATGCCCTCATACCATTCCATACACACACACATTCACGCACACGGACAACAAGCCGAGTGCAAACCGTAGGGTTGCACCAACAAACTCCCCCTCGGATTGTTGGCCTTAGGATATGTTGCTCTCTCAGTTCAGAGCCATCCCAGCCAGCTTGCAACACTTCCAATGCTGCTGCTCCACCAGCCTCTTGGTCATCATGTCAGCCGGCTGCCCCGTGGTCTTCACGTAGCGCAACTCAACTTCACCCGCGGTTACCATGCTCCTCGTCCAATGCCACTTCACCCTCATGTGCTTCGTGAGTCCATGCAACATAGGGTTCTTAGCAAGAGCAATGGCACCCTGGCTGTCACAGTACAGTGGGGTAGGTCCTTGCTGCTCCTCCCCCAATTCAGCCAACAAACGCCGCTGCCACACAATCTCCCGTACGGCACGGAAGAGTGCCATGTACTCGGACTCCACCGAGCTCAAAGCTTGGTCAACCTGCTTCTTGCTCTCCCAAGCAGTTGGGCCTCCACCAACACAGCATATGAAGCCTCCCACACTTGTCATGTCCTCTGGTTCTGATGCATATGAAGCATCCGAGTAGGCGGTGAGGAACAAACGCCCGGGTTCAACACCATCCGCGCCCTTTTGGCGCCTTTGTGCCGCCGCCGAGTATTGCAGCCCAACGGTCGGTGTTTGGCCAAGATACTTGGCCACCCTCATTCCAGCTGCTACCTGCTCCTCATTAGGGCATTGCACAACCCTAGCCAGCTGCCCGGTAGCAAACGCGACGTCCGGTCGGGTGTTTACCGCCGCATACATGAGGCTGCCCACCAACGAGTGAAATCGGCGCCTCTCCTCTTCACCAACGCTCTCCTCCTCTGGTCCCTTCACACACTTGAACCCAGAGGGAAAGGGTGTAGCCACATGGCCTTCACTCTGCCCAAAGTTGGCAGCCAATGCCTCCAGGTACTTTCGTTGATGCACCCGCATGCACCGCTTCTCCACATCTCGTTCGATGTGGAGCCCAAGGTAGAAGCTCACGTCACCAAGGGCCTTGCACTTGAACTTGTCTTGAAGCTTCAGCATCACCTCCTTCACAAGGTCAGAAGAGGGTGAGAAAATGAGGATGTCATCCACATAAACCACCATGAAACTCCTCTGCTCCCCCTCGCCAAGCATGAACAAGGAGTGATCGGCCGTTGAGGGAGTGAAGCCGATCCCCTCCAACACTTCGCGCAGCTTCATGTACCATTGCCTAGGGGCCTGCTTCAGCCCATAGAGGGCCTTCTTCAGCTTCCACACTCTGCCACTACCATCATCAAACCCCTCTGGCTGCGCCATAAAAATCTCCTCCTCAAGGATGCCGTTAAGGAATGCCGTTACAATGTCCATTTGCTTTACTACCCATCCTTTGATGGCGGCTCCCGCGAATAGGGTTCGCAGCGTCGTCGGCTTCACCACAGGGGCAAACAGCTCCTTGAAGTCCACCTTCTCCTTCTGCTGGTACCCCTTGGCTACAAGCCTAGACTTGTAGCGCTCGATCTTGCCGTCGGCATCCGACTTGATTTTGAAGAGCCACTTGGACGTTATCGCCGTACGCCCCTCCGGTAGCTCCACCAATTCAAACGTGTCATTCTCCTCGATGCTCTTCAGCTCACTCTCCATGGCCTTCTTCCACTCCTCAGCATCACTACTCTCCAAAGCCTCCTTGAGAGTTGCTGGTTCTCCCGGCATCTCCACCGGAGAGAAGAACGCGAAGGCACACTCCTCGTAGTCACTCTCCTCGTCGTCTCCGACCATCATTGCCGCTCCGGCCAGGGCTGTCTTGCCCTGCTTTCCCGGCGCATCATAGGTCAGCCTATTAGGGGGTTGAACTCTCCTCTTCCCCCTTCCTTCCTCCTCAGCTGCAGGGACTTGAAGGCCTTGGCGTTGCTGCGGTGTGGCTCGAATCCGTGGAGCACTCGTAGTACGGGAAGGGAGTGACGGTGCACGCTCGCTCACTTGCTGCACCTCCTCCTCTTCTTCCTCTGCATCATTGGCCTCCTCTCCCCCATTCACAAGGGAGGATTGCCTTGTGGTTGTGCTGCCGCTGCTCAGCTCCAAAGGCAGCTCCACATGCTCCAAACCGGAACTCTTCACCTCCCCAAACCGCACGCCTATCTTCGCCTCATTCTCCGCCTTCCAATCCTTGTACATGAAGTTCTCCATGAACTTGCAGTCCCTGCTCACCAAGAACTTCTTGGTGAATGGGTCCCAAAGAAGCCATCCCTTGCTGTTTTGAGTCATGCCCAAGTGCACGGCCCACACCGCCTTGGCACCAAGCTTGTTGTGCCGAAGATGCTTAGGCACGAGCGCCATGCACATGCACCCGAACACCCGAAGCATATCCACCTTTGGCTTCCTTCCTAGCCACTCCACATAGGGCACCCATTTGTCTGCTCCCACATGAGTCAAGGCTCTGTTCATGGCCACACACGCGCTCCGCACCGCATCAGGCCAGAAATAGTCGGGTAGCCCGGCTTCAATGAGCAACCCGCGTGCCGCCTCCGTGATTGTGCGGTTCGCTCGCTCGGCGATGCCGTTCATTGCAGGGGAGTATGGCATGGTGAGGGAGTGCCGAATACCATTCTTCTTCAGCCACAACCCAAACTCCTTGCTCAGGAACTCTCCCCCTCGATCGGTGCGGATTGACTTGACTAGACGGTCTTGTTGCCGCTCCACCATCGGGAACCAATCCGTCTTCAACGTTTCAGCCACGTCGCTCTTCTTGGCCAGCACGTACACCCAAGTCATGCGGGTGTAGACGTCGACAATGGTGAGAAAATACTCAGCTCCAGCAGCTCCAAGCTTCAGGGGGCCCACCACGTCCATCACCACCTCATCAAGCGGTGCCTTTGCCGTTGCCTCCGAACTAGGGAACGGAAACCGGGTGAACTTGGCTTGAATGCACGTCGGGCAGCCAAGCACCTCATCGGGCTCCCCCTTCACACGTATGCCAGCAACCATCTCATTCTTCACTAGCTGCTGCAAGATGGGCAGGGCCACATGCCCCATGCGCCGATGCAAGGTGAGCCAATCACACTCCCCCGTAGCCGAAGTTGGATTGGAGAATGCCGCGCTCGCAATAGCGCCCCACATACTCTCTCCGTAGTCCTCCTCCGCTGCTGCCTCTGGGTTCTCCTCACCCTTTTGCTGCTCCTTGGTTGCTGCACCACTCTCCTTAGGTTCACTGAACTTGCTGGTCCCTCCAGGTTTGCTCTTCTTGAGCTCATTCTCCTTAGCGCGACCGTTCGCGCCATCGTCGCTACCGACCGCTCCATCCTTGGTGCTGATGCTTGCTGCCACTTGCCTCTCCTTAGGCATAGGGACCACTGGGATCTGCCACATCTCGTTGTAGACATCCCTGTCCTCATGAAGGTCCCAAAGAATTCGATCGCCAAGCCTTGCGGTGTAGGTCTTGGCTCCCTTCGAGTTCGTGTCCATGCCGGCCTTTGCCAACCGCCGCACGGAAATCAGGTTTGCAGCAAGGCTGGGCACCCAAAGCACGTTCTTGAGGCCCACCATCTTCCCATCAGCACCCTTGAACATGGCCTTGCCCATGCCTTTCACCTCTGCTCGCTGCCCCAAAGCCGATGTGACATGCTTCACCGGTGACGGCTCGAGTTCGGTGAGCAAGTCCGGGCAAGGTGTCATGCTATAGGTAGCGCCACTATCAATCACCCAATAGTCCAGGGGGTGTAGGGTCACCTTCCCCACAGCTGCTGGCTCCTCAAAGCCTTCATCCTTCTCTGGACCAGCCGGTACTTGCGTCGACACGAAGTAGAATAGACCCGGGTATCGATCGTCGCTCGGGTCCTTGTCGTTGTCTCCGCTCTTCATGTTTGCAGCTCCGCCACCGCGACCGCCACGGCCTCCACGGCCTCGTCCTCTCCCTCCTCCTGCTCCTCTACTCTCTTGGCCTTGAGCAGGGGTCCAACCATCAGGGAGTTTGTAGCAGTCGCGCCACATGTGTCCGCTCTTGTGGCAATAGTGACACTCGCCGTCGAATCGGCCGCGACCGCGTCCGTAGCTCTTGTCGTCGCTGCCGTAACCGCCACTCCTGCGGCCTCCGCCGAAGTTGCTGCCACCAAACCTTCCTCCCCCTCGTCCTCTGCCTCTTCCTCGACCATATCCACGGCCGATGCTCGCTGCCCCAGCGCCATCCGCACTCGCCAACTCACGGCGGCGGAAATCCTCTTGAAGGATAGCTCGCTTCACGTCTTCAAGCGAGAGGCGGGGCAAGTCGCGATTAAGGTTGATGATGAGCGAGGACCATGACTCTGGGAGTAAGGCCAGCAACTTGGTCTTCTTTTGGAGCTCACTGTAGTTCAAATCAGCTCCCTCAAGCCGCGTCAACAAGTCGAAGAATTTCTGCACCCCTTCTTCAACCGCTTCGTCTTCTTCAATTCGTAGTGCCGCCATTTGCCGTTCCAACACCACCGCTACCGCCGCTGTTGCAGGAGCATGTACACCCTTGAGAGCAGCCCATGCCTTTGGTCCTTTCTCTGGTTCACGCTGGAATGGCTTGATGTGACGGATCTGACTGCTCCCCAACGCTTGCCCAAGTAAGAGATAGCCTTGTGCGCTCTTCCGCACCCACGGGCTCTTCTCCGGTTCGTTCTCGGGGCGCTTCTCCGTTCCTTCCATCACCTCCAGCAGGTCATAGTGGTCAAAGATGTTCTCCATCTTGAAGGACCATTCAGCAAAGTTGTCACCGTTGAACTTGTCAAGCCCAAACACCCTAGGCTCATCCCTAGGTGGGCCAAGACTTGGTTGCATGGGCGCCATGGCTGAATCACGGGGTTGGCCTTGAGCTTGAGCTTCTCCACTGCCACCAGCACCTCTGCCACCCCTTTCCTCAGGTCCAGACATTGTCGAAACTGCTCCAAGGGGCTCTGATACCACTTGTTATAGTCACAATAGGCTTGAATGTGCCTAAAACGAAAGATAGAGAGCATAGACGGATTTCTGCACAGCGGCTTCAAACGCTGATTGCGTTCTGCTCACAGCTGCAAATGACTTGATTCAAATTGGATCTGGAGCGTCTTCACGTCGTCTACAACTAGCAATTTAGATTGCACGATTTGATAAAGAATTGACGACACAGCGTCAGTTTGAACGAACGGTACTATGGCAGCCACTATAGTCTTAGAACACAAGATAGGAAGAGTTACGAGTTGGGAATGACTCCCAGCTCCTACAAACCCCAAGAGCCGAGGTACAGTGATGTGGAACAGTGCCACACTGTCCCCAACCACGAAGGGTCTCGAAACTACCCTTCACTAGGGCCTACATCAAGTGAAATGTTACACTACACAAAGTAATGTAACTATCTTCAATGTCTTGAGGTGTACCCTTTTGGCAAGCTTCGAAATCACTTGAGGCTTGACACCAAGGCTCGGGCTCTTCATCACAAACTCATCCTTGAGTTCTTGATGGGTCTGCTGCACACACCTGCGACACGCCGAACGTTCGACACAGGACAAAATAGAAACCGCGCACGACAAAATAGAAACCGCGCGCGAGACACAAACGACCGCGTAACACGCGTCTAGCGATAACTCGCTATTGACTCGACACACACACTCGACATCATGACTCAACATTCACACACAATTATAAGCATGAAATATATATTATCCCATGCCCTCATACCATTCCATACACACACACATTCACGCACACGGACAACAAGCCGAGTGCAAACCGTAGGGTTGCACCAACAGACAGCAGTGGCGATGAGGAGGAGGAGGCGGCGGACAGCAGTGGCGATGAGGAGGAGGAGGCGGCGGACAGCAGTGGCGATGAGGAGGAGGAGGAGGCGGCGGACAGCAGTGGCGATGAGGAGGAGGAGGCGGCGGACAGCAGTGGCGATGAGGAGGAGGAGGCGGCGGACAGCAGTGGCGATGAGGAGGAGGAGGAGGCGGCGGACAGCAGTGGCGAGGAGGAGGAGGAGGAGGAGGCGGCGGACAGCAGTGGCGAGGAGGAGGAGGAGGAGGCGGCGGACAGCAGTGGCGAGGAGGAGGCGGAGGAGGCGGCGGACAGCAGTGGCGATGAGGCGGAGGAGGCGGCGGACAGCAGTGGCGATGAGGCGGAGGAGGCGGCGGACAGCAGTGGCGATGAGGAGGAGGAGGCGGCGGACAGCAGTGGCGATGAGGAGGAGGAGGCGGCGGACAGCAGTGGCGATGAGGAGGAGGAGGCGGCGGACAGCAGTGGCGATGAGGAGGAGGAGGCGGCGGACAGCAGTGGCGATGAGGAGGAGGAGGCGGCGGACAGCAGTGGCGATGAGGAGGAGGAGGCGGCGGACAGCAGTGGCGATGAGGAGGAGGAGGCGGCGGACAGCAGTGGCGATGAGGAGGAGGAGGCGGCGGACAGCAGTGGCGATGAGGAGGAGGAGGCGGCGGACAGCAGTGGCGATGAGGAGGAGGAGGCGGCGGACAGCAGTGGCGATGAGGAGGAGGAGGCGGCGGACAGCAGTGGCGATGAGGAGGAGGAGGCGGCGGACAGCAGTGGCGATGAGGAGGAGGAGGCGGCGGACAGCAGTGGCGATGAGGAGGAGGAGGCGGCGGACAGCAGTGGCGATGAGGAGGAGGAGGCGGCGGACAGCAGTGGCGATGAGGAGGAGGAGGCGGCGGACAGCAGTGGCGATGAGGAGGAGGAGGCGGCGGACAGCAGTGGCGATGAGGAGGAGGAGGCGGCGGACAGCAGTGGCGATGAGGAGGAGGAGGCGGCGGACAGCAGTGGCGATGAGGAGGAGGAGGCGGCGGACAGCAGTGGCGATGAGGAGGAGGAGGCGGCGGACAGCAGTGGCGATGAGGAGGAGGAGGCGGCGGACAGCAGTGGCGATGAGGAGGAGGAGGCGGCGGACAGCAGTGGCGATGAGGAGGAGGAGGCGGCGGACAGCAGTGGCGATGAGGAGGAGGAGGCGGCGGACAGCAGTGGCGATGAGGAGGAGGAGGCGGCGGACAGCAGTGGCGATGAGGAGGAGGAGGCGGCGGACAGCAGTGGCGATGAGGAGGAGGAGGCGGCGGACAGCAGTGGCGATGAGGAGGAGGAGCATGTGCCCACCACCAAGACTCGCTCGGGCGAGAATCCGTGGGACATTAGTGATGGCTCGAGCGGGGAGGAAGAGGGGGAGGAGGAGGAGGAGGAGGAGGAGGAGGAGGAGGAGGAGGAGGAGGAGGAGGAGGAGGAGGAGGAGGAGGAGGAGGAGGAGGAGGAGGAGGAGAATGACGAGGAGGAGGAGGGGGATGATGAGTAGAGGAGGGTGATGTAGGGGGAAGAGACGTAGGCGGGCGAGGCATAGAGTAGTAGTAGTAGCGACCCACCAGGTAGGTCCTACCTAGTATGAGTAGTAGTAGAGTAGAGTAGAGGGGGGGGGAGGGGAGTAGTACTAGAGGGGAGGGGATGTTGTGTAGTAGTCGTGGTAGCTGTTCCATGTTGTTTTGTAAGGTTTTGTGCACCCTCCAGAAGTTGGAAGATATCATTCCAAGGGGAAAAATAAAAACAAACCGGGAAAAAAAACCCTTTCAAAAATACGCCGTATTTTTCCACAAATGGCCGTAAAATACCATCGTATTAAACGAACCGTTTAATACGATTTCCGTATTTTTCATCCTTGATTTCAACCGTATCACCCATCACACCCATTTCAACCGTATCACCCATCACACCCATTTCAACCGTATCACCCATCTCTCCTTCCAGTAGCCATCGCCCCCTGATCTAATAGACGTGCTGCCAGCGTCTAACTTTTTCCCGTTTCACAATTCCTATCAATTCCTTTTTTCACCAATCCTCACCCATCTCGCCGCTCTCTCCTTCCAGCCACCACCCTCCGTGATCCCATCGACCTGCTACCGGCGTCTCACATTCCCTCTTCACTCCCTCCATCAATCCCCTTTCCAACACATCACCTACCCATTTTCCACCTCACCCTTTTCACCCGTCTCTCCTCCTACCAGCCGCCACCCCCCGTGATCCCATGGACATGCTACCGGCGTCTCTCTGGCACCGGGTGTTCCGCTGCCTGCTGCTGCCGCCCGGCTCCTCGCACCCCGACACCACTCTCATGCGGGGCAGGCGCAAGACGCCCTGGTATCTCACCGCCACAATGCAACCCCCAGCGGGCAGAAACCTGCCCGTGAAATTTGTGGACCCTGACTTTTCAGCAGCCGGGCAGCACCGGAAGAATGTGAAAACCTATGGCAGTGGGTGGGTGCTGCTGTGCTGCGCCATGGTCAGCAAGAGGCTCCGCAACCTCGTCCTCTCCTTCTCCGTGAGTTTTGTTTTCCTTTGATGTCGTCTCACACGCTTTGCCCTTCAAGGCTGCTGTGCTGCGCCCTGGCCAGCAAACGGCTCTGCAACCTCGTCCTCTCCTTCTCCGTGAGTGATGCTCTCCGTTGCGCTTGGATTTTGGTGTGCTTCCAACAGCCCTTGCTGCGAGAGTTGTGAAAATATCTCCCAAATAAAAACTGCGTGAACTGAGACGATTTTCTAGGCGCATCAAATTCTGGCTTTTGGTGTGTTCTTCAACAGCCCTTGATGTGAGTGTTTGTGCTCGTGGCATTGCAGTAACCGCCACATCTCCCAGCCATCTACCTTTCATATTCTCTCCACCATTCTCACCCATCCCTCTCTGCAGGCCCAGCACCCCATCTCCTTCATCTACAGCAACCTGCATCCGCAGCGGGAGCGGTGCGTCGCCTTTGTTAGATCCCGCTTCAGATCTGATTTTAATCACTTGCACCCACAGTGGGAGAGGAGCGTTGCTCTCCAATCTGAACTTCTTAGCACTTCCATTCGCATCCCATGCCCACCCATTTCTCTCCTCTCTGCAGGCTCAGCACCCCATCTCTCTGGTCTACAACAATCTGCACCCGCAGTGGGAGAGGAGCGTCGCCTTCTTCCTCCGTCACCGCGGCCTCAAGTCCCTCGCCCTCACCTTCACGCACATCATGCAGCTCGACACCATCGTGTCCCAGGACGAGTGGCCCTTCGCCTCCCTCACCTCGCTCACCCTCAAGCTGCGCGGCTGTCCGGACTACTCCCAGCTCTTTGACAGGGAGCTAGGCAATGAAGATGTCGTGGAGCAGGGCGATAGGGACGACACAGTACAGGAGCACTGGTCGCACTACTACGGCTGTCCGCGTGTGCAGCGGCTGAAGCTGGGGCGCGGCAAGTGGGTTCTCTCGGACGGGTGGGCGGGGAAGCTCAAGGCGCTGCGCAGTTTGACTCTCAAGCACGTGGACTGGAGTCACATGGATGTCAAGTATCTCGCCACACTCACGCCACAGCTCACGGAATTCACGCTTTATGAGGGCTGGGATTTGGATAACCCGTCCGTCGGCCCTCGTGGCAGCGGCATTAACCGATTCTGTTTTGACCTCTCATCAGCTCGCGTCCTCCGGTTCTACTTCGCACAGGGCAGCCTCACGCTCTTCCTCACCCTCTCCCGCTCGCTCAAGGCCTTCTCTGCCGTGGCCAAACGGCTGGTCCTCTCCTGCAAGAGCGCCGCTCCTCTCTATCTCGACCAACTCTCACTCTATGGCCAGGAGCGTCTCGTCATCTCCTCCCTCCGCCTCGCATCTGCACGAGTGGCCTACCTCAACGGCCCTCCCATCGACCGCCACTCCCGCGATGATGCCTGCTCATCTCAAAGAACAGATTCTTCCTCTTGGGACACCCCTGCTCCGCCCCCTGACTGGCTAAGCTTGCACCGCCGCAGCTCCTCTGAATTCTCCTGGGTTGAATGGCTGGGTGCTATAGCGCGGACAGTGGAGGTGCTTATAGTGAGGCACGGGGTGCCTGTAGAGCAGGTGGGTGCGGAGTGGAGCTGCCTGCGCAGCCTTGGGATTGTCGTGGAAAGTGAGGAGCGGTTTGAGAGAGATCTGGATTTTGAGAGGCGGCGGGATGATGGTGAGGAGGAGGTTACAGTGGAGGAGTGTCAGGAGCGCAACCAGAGGCAGAGGCGGTTGCAGCAGCGCCGACGTCCGCAGCAGCAGTGGCAGCAGGAGGAGCAGGAGGAGGAAGAGGAAGAGGAGCAAGCAGGAAAGCTCCCTGTTATCAAGGCTCCAAACTTGAAAACGATCTTCTTCCCCACTCGCACCTGCGAGCAGCACACTCTTGTTGCCCTACGTGAATCCTGCCCCTCCCTCGCCCTGTACTGCATCGCAAGTCGCTCTTTCTACTGGGAGAAGCATGGGAAGGGGTTGGCTGAAACTGAGGCTCCTGTGGTGCATGTGAGGAAGGGGAGGAGCGGCGTGTCGAGCAACTGCTTTGGGGAGAGGCAGGCGAAGAATGTGAGGGAGAAGATGCACGGTGTGAATAGGGAGCTGGTTGAAAGTTACAGTGTTGATAAAGATGAGGCTTATATGTTGAAGTCGAAAGGCAGCCTCTGGGGGACATACTGCTCTTACTACCTTTAACATTCATTTATTGGTGTGTGTGTGGACAAGGTCTGGGTCGACTCAAAACTCGTTGATACAGATGAGCCTTACTGCTGTAGCACGACGCTGTACAAAGGAAGCCTCTGTAGGACCTACTACTGTTACAGCCTCTAGAACGCATTCATCATTCGTGTCACGACCTCTCCATTACCATACTATTATATGGGAATGTGAGTGGGTGTGGGATCGCAACTATCATAACATATACGGTAATTGCCTTCTCTGCCATCCTTTTTGTGATCATGCCCGACCAACCTCCCCCTCTCCCATCCCTCCACCCCCCTCCCCCCTATTCCCCTCGTCTACACGTCTCGTGCTGGGAAAAAAACAAACAAATGGGAAAAAAAAACAAACAAAACATAAATACAAATCACAAGTACAAGCATACAAACAAAACATCAGAACAAAACATTAATACATACGGTAACTACCAGCCCTCAGTGACTCCCCTGCTTTACTGTGCCCAGCTGGTGGAGCAGCAGCCCTGTGCCCTGGCAGCAGCAGACAACAAATACGGTAGCAGGCAGCCCCATCAGCACTGGCACTAGCTCAGCCACCCAACATGATCACCACCTCTGCTTCACTGTGCTCGACTGGTGGAGCAGCAGCCCCGTGCCCTGGCAGCAGCAGACAACAAACAGCAGGCAGCCCCATCAGCAGCAGGCAGCCCCATCAGCAGCAGGGAGGGCGGTGCGGTGCCCCATGATGGCACCCATAGGCACTGTGCATGCACCACACAGGTGCACACCGTCCCATGGTCTCACCGTCCCATGGTCACACCACCCCATGGTCACACCACCCCATGGTCTCACCACCCCATGGTCACACCACCCCATGGTCACACCATTGCCCTAGACCTTATACTGTAAAACCTACAGCCTGAACCCTTTATCAGCAGCACTGCTGAACAATGCCAGAGAAGGGAACTGCCGGCGCAGAGCAACCAGAAGTTCAGGTTTACACTCGTAGTCTTTGGCATGATAAAAGAAAGACTTCAGGTTCGGAGCGTTGATGAACAGGCCGCTGCTGCCTATCCTGCTGCTGCCGCTCCTGCTGCTGCCGCTGCTGCTCTCTTCTTCCCCACCAAAGCACCTCCAGAAATTATAATCTTCCGGATCCTCGGGTTTAGCTTTGTAACTAACCCCCCCAGTGCTATAACGATTCATACCAACGGCGAGGCGACGCAGGCGGCTCCACTCCACACGCACGCCCTCCAGCGGCCAGCCGTACCTCACTATAAGCGACTCCACTGTAGGCGCTATGCTGCTGAGAAGGTGGGTCACGGTACGCTGAGATTCGAGATCGGAACAGGGAAACGCACGCCAACGATATTCTCGAATGGTTGGTCCGTTCACGTAGACGGATTTTGCGGAGGCCAATGGGAGCGAAGTTACGAGAAGCTGCGAGTGGCCAATGAGAGAGAGCGAGTCGAGAGAGAGGCGGCTGCCGCATGTGCAATCCACGTTGAGAAACGCCGCGGTGGCCGAGAAGGATTTCAAAGAGGCAGGCAGGGGGAAGCAGAGGTTGACCGCTTGTTTCTCGAAGCAGATTGCGATAGTGCGAGCAGCAGTGAGCTCGAAATCGAGGGTGGTAGAGCCAGAGCCATGGCTGGAGGAGGCGAGAGCGAGTTCATGCAGCTGCGGTGCGATGGATGAAAGAAAGGTCAGAGAATTTCCGTCGCACTCAAAATCGTGGATGCTCAGACTCCTTAAAGCCGTGAATTTTGCTGAATCCAGGTTGCCTAGTTGCCACGTCCCACGACCCAGCTTCAGCCGCTGCAGCTGCTCAAACTCCAGGAGAAAGGCGGGATTCATCAGGTGCTTCTCCTTAATGATAGGCTCGATTCCCCCGGGAGGTTCCTTGATTCCAAGGCCCAGGCTTGTGAGGGAGTGTGCAGAGGGTTGCAAGGGACGGCCGATGCTGTTTAGATCTTGGGAGCTGTTGAGAGTGAGATCAAGGGACGTGTGAGCTGCGCGACGCAGGAAGAAATAGAGCATGCCTGACCACCAGGGGTCTTGAGCATTGAATAGGAGGGTCATGGAGTCGAGCTCCTGCTCACACACAGTGATGGACACAGCGATGGACGCAGCCGGAGGACTCAGCGAAGGACACAGCGAAGGACTCAGAGAGCAGAATTTACCATTTTCTGAGATGAGTTGTATAAAAGAAAGTTGTACGGTGGAATGAGGGAAGGGAAGAAGCGCATCATGATGAGATGACTCACGGAGAAGGAGATGGCATGGAGGAGGAGCCTCTTGCTGGCCACGGCGTAGCGCAGCAGAGGCCAGGAGGGGCCGAAGCGCCTCAATGCCTTCGCATGCTGGTCCGTGATGGCAGGAAATGGAAGGGCTGTGGCGTTCGAGGTGCTGCGTGCTTCCTGCTGCGATGCACCCGAGGAATCACCCTGCTTTTCCGGAGAATGATGTGCCAGTAGGTGGCGGAAGATGATGTGCCAGATGGGGCCAGGCAGCAGGTCAACCACATCCTCGCTCTGGCAGTGGGGAAAAAGAAAAGAAGATAGTGAGCAATAGAAAGAAAGGATTTGCCTAACCCTCTATAACTTTCTGAGAGAAATGTGATGAGAATTTCCGCTGGGGAATCAAGGTCCAACGCTTCACTGTCGCAAAGTTTTCGACATCACGCCTCACTCGCTGCGGCATCTCACCTCGTGGAGCTTCTCGGCATCAGAGGGCGGCATTGTATCATTAAGAGCATGATTTTCTTCCATCACCTCATCTCCTTGGCTATCCATCAGCGGCAACAGTCAACTACGCAATCGACAGAAACGCTGGCGTTCGAATAACAGATTCAGCTCTACAAATTCTGATAGCAACGTCTGATAATAACAAGGTTCAGCTCGGCATAATCCACCAGCAACGTTTGATGATTCTTGAGCTACACAAAACCAGCAGAGATGGGTTTCTGTGGAGGGAACACTCGTGCAGTGAGAGGAGAGGGTTACGCTGGTGACAGGATTTCCGCTCGCCTATCGTTTTCCAACCTTGACACCACTCTAACGGAAACGTGCAGATTGTAGGCGAACGTTTTCGCGATCGCAGAGGCTTGATTGGGACTGAAAACAGCACCTTCACGAAGTCCGGTCGGACCATATCAACCATTTGGTCCGACTGGACTTCGTCGCGCGGAGGGCCAAACGAGGCACGGGGGTAGCCTTCGGCTTGGTAGAGGCTTGGAGACAGCCTCGTATTTTTCGTGCCTATCATCAGGCTGTACGCTCCCAGGAGTTTGGGCTTCGATTCGCAGGCAGTTCAATTCGAATGAATTGTTGCATTGCTGTCAATGAACGGAGTGTACTCTGCATGTCATACATTGTTATTTATTGCTTTAGTTACATTTCTTAGCAGGAAGATGTGGAATTAATAGCGAAGCCATGTTCAGAAATAAATATATGATGGTTAAATAAATATTGGTTAAAATTTGGTGGCTTTTTATCATACATTGCCCTGATTTCGTAATAATTTGCCTCAAGATTGCAAAAAGCATCTTGGGTGAGGTTGCGTGCATAGAAGAACAGGCAAGCAACAGATGAAAGTAGCAGAAGCAGACCAAGAGCACCAGCATCCTCATCAGCTATTTGACAGAATTGATTCAGTCACATACTGTATGTACCATATTCAAGGTATTCGAAGGACCCAATCTGTTCCTGCTACCGTTATAGCTGTCCTGGCTACTGCTATAGCTTTCTCTGCTGCTTCTCTGAAGGCACACAATTTGCGTGTTTCCAAATCCACCCAAACGTCCCTTTGTTGCTTACAAGTGCTCAGAGGCACTGAAGGCCGTCCAGAAAGTCGCCCACATCTATCTCGCCACTCGAGCCTTCCGTTGTCTCAAACCGCGGAGCATTTGAAGCAGTCCGATGTGCACTCACACACACGACGGGCTGACTGAGCCGCTCGCTGCCAATGGGCTTCCAGCAGAACAACCTGCCAACAACGCAGTAGATCTCCAACGAGGAGAAGTCCTCTTGCAGCGACACGAGAGTGTCGGAGTTGCACCGGCGCGTGACGAACAGGAGAGACCGCAGCGCTGGAGCAATCATGCACGGAGGCCTTGGCGCTTCACGGTTCCTGCTTCGTCTCCTGCTGCTGCTACTGCTGTCAACAACGTCACCGCCACTGCCACTGCCACCGCCGCCATCCCTGCCACTGCCTCTGTCTCCTCCTTCCCCCATGCCACCTCTCCTCGTGTACAAACGGCTGATGCCGCCCGCACGAGCCTCTGCTGCCTCCACTGTCGTCCTGCACCTTCCCCCACCCGCCTTGCTCCCACGCACACCGATTGCCAGGCGGTGCAGCTCCCTCCACTCGCCCTCCACTGCCTCTATTGGTAGCGAGTGTGGCACCATCAGTGCCTCCACTGTGGGGGCTACTGATTGCAGCACGCGGATCAAGGAGGATTCAGAGATGGATGGAGAGTAAAGTTCCCGGGAGATGGAAGGCTGATTCGGAGAAATCCGAGGGGAGTGAAAGGGGTTGCTGAGGGAGTGAGGAGGGTTGGTGAGAGGATTGAATGACTCCTCTTGCATGCTTGTTGCGTTCAGGTAGACGTCTTTGGCTGATGCGAGGGGGAGCGATGCCACCACGAGGCGCTTGCGACCAATCAGCATGAGGAAGTCGAGGGAGAGCGGGGTTTCACAGCGACAGTCCAGGTCGAGAGAATGCGCTGAAACAGACAGGGAGTTGAGAGAGGCAGGGAGGGAGAGCGCGAGGTGCACTCTGTGCTGGTCCAACACGAGGTGGATGGATTGAGCAGCGGAGAAGCTAAGGTCGAGGGTGCATGGACTCTGTCCCTGGTTCAACACGTAGAGGGAGAGTTCGTGTAGCTGCGGCGTGATTTGGGCCAGAAACTCGAAATCCGAGGCGGTGCAGTGGGAATGGTGGATGGTGAGGGCCCTTAAGGCTTTGAGCCACGAGGGATGGAGGCTGCTGAGGTGCCAGTTGGCACGCTCCAGATGCAGCTGCTGCAGCCGCGGACAATGCTGGAAAAACACTGGGGAGATGCGCTCGTGCTGCTCTTCTGCATGCCGTTGCTGCTCTGCATGGCCGTTCTGCTCCTCATGCTGCTGCTGCTGCTGCTGCTGCTGCTGCTGCTCCTCATGCTGCCGCTGCTGCTGTTGCTGGGCATGCCCATACGGGTCTTCCCAGTGGGATGCATCCGTGGGAGTGGGCCCCAGGCGAAGGGAGGTGAGGGAGTGGCCAGAGGCTCTCATTGTGGTGGCAAAGCTGTGCAGATCCGCCAAGGTGTGGAATTGCAAGTGCAGTTTCGGACTCTGATGGGTGGGGAGCGAGAGAAGCACTGGAGATGAGGGGAAGAGATTATTTTTCAAGAATTCTCACAAAACACAGAGGCTCTCATTGTGCCGCTGAAGCTGTGCAGGTCCGCTAAGGTGTGGAAGTGCAGATGGGCTTCCATGCTCTGATAGGTGGGGAGAGAAGCACTGGAGATGAAGTGAAGAGCGTCCTTTTAAGAATTCTCATAAAAACACAGAGGCTAGCATTGTGCGGCTGAAGCTGTGCAGGTCAAGCAAGGTGTGGAAATGCAGATGGGCTTCCGAACTCTGAAAGGTGGGGAGAGAGAGAAGCATTGGAGATGAAGTGAAGAGAGGGAGAGGTGAGAATTCTCGAAAAGACACAGAGGCTAGCATTGTGCTGCTGAAGCTGTCCAGGTCAGGCAAGGTGTGGAAGTGCAGGTGGGCTTTTGAGCTCTGATGGGAGGGGAGATAGCAGCAGTGGAGATGAGGTGACGAGCGGAGAGGTGAGACTAGGGAGATGAGAGCAGGAGAGCAGGAGAGGAGGGATGAGAGGAGAGGAGAGACTACGGAGATGGGAGGAGTGGAGGGAGGTGGGAGGAGTGGAGGGACGAGGGAAATGTGAGAAGATTCAATGCCCTGTCTGCAGCACCCACTCTCATTCCACACTCTTCTCACTCCTCTCTTCTCTGTCGGCGGAGACTGAGAAGGACTTTGAGGCGCCTAAAAAAAAAAATAACAAACCGCGTGAGCTGAGACGACTTTTGAGGCGCCGCAAAATCCGGCGCCGAGTGGAGGACGGCGTGCACAAGTTCTCTAGAAGGGCCACTAAAGGCAGAAAACAAAATGTTTGCTTGAAGAAGCTACCAAACGACAGCGGCACGCCGGAACGGGGAGAGGATGGGTCGTGAGAGCGAAGTGACCGCGTCTCGGAGTCGCTCGGATGCACTACGACTCCAGGTGGTGCCGCGACTGAAGCAGAACTACATCCGAAAAATCCAGGGGGGTGAATGTATGTTCGAAGTAACATCTGGAGTTACTTTGGGGGAACAGTTTTGAATGTACACAGGATGCTCAGGAGATGCCCGCGCATCTGGTCTGCCCAATCCCGACAGCCTGCCCACTTACAGTTTGGGACGGGCAGTTGCCCGCTCGTTACAGACCCCCTGGACAAGTGGAATTGCATGCGCGGTTCGTCAATTTGTCGCGCCGCGCATGCAGACATCCAATGTTGCCCCCTTGAGCCGACGAACCGCACTGTACAACACACCCCGGCGAAGGCCTTCGCGAAGTGCAGCTGCTCATCGCCAGGCCTTCGTCATTGTCCGTACGCCACATGAGGCAGCATTGGTGTTTCAAACACCCACAGCGGCGGTGCATCCTGCCACGCTGGAGAATTGACAGTGTCGCCCTGCTCGATAAAAGCGCCGCTCATCTAACACTCTGTTCACAAACACTTCGACACCTTTAATATGACCCGTGGTTACCTGAACGCACCAAGACAACCACACGGCCAGGTTAATGCTTCGTTCGTGACACCAAATGCAAACACACCACATAAGCAGAACCGCCCTTAGTTGGGTAGGCACTTTTCATCCCGCCCATAAAACTCAACAAATCTCCCCGACTAAACAAGTTCTCTCACACACCTCAACTTAGCTAGCATGCCTCGCTTACTCAAGCGCTCGCAGTTACCTCTGTACGTGAAACGGGCGATATGTAGCTACCACGCGGCCCACCCTCACCTGCGCCAGGAAGATGTGGCTCGATGGTGCTTCACGAGGTACGGCATCCGTCCCGACCGATCCACCATCGGTCGTGTCATTCGAAACGAGGCCCGCTGGAGCTCCACTTCCGAGAGCAGCAACACTACTCGCGTTCGTGGTGGGGCTCATCCTGATCTGGAGCGGCGCATGCTCCGTTGGATCGGGAACGCGGGACCAGCCGGCATCCCTCTAACACTCGCGACCATCCGTCATCACGCGGCGGGAATGGCGCGAGACATGGGCATTCCCGCCTCCTTCAGGTGCTCCGTCGGGTGGGTTCGCCGCACCATGCGTCGTCATGGTATCCGGTGCATGGCCACGCGCGAAGAGGCGGCCGACCAGGACTTGGCGGCGGTTATGACTTGCAAGACGCAGCTGCCCGCGCTCCTTATGCACTTGACCGTGCAGCCGGCGGACGTCTTCAACTTCGACGAGACCGCCCTGTACATCTCTTGCTTCCGCGCAAGACGTACGGCACGGCACGTGTTGGGGGCCGCAAGAACGCCAAGGAGAGGCTGGCGGTTGGGTTCCTCATCAACGCGGATGGCAGCCACCCTTTCCGTCCCCTCGTCATCTCCAAATCGAAGCGCCCGCGGGACTTCCGCCCTGACTACGACCCGGAGCTGTTGTGCTATTAGCGTTCTAACAATAAAGGGTGGATGACCGCCGCGGTAAGTGAACACCATATGCACACGTACTGCTGCAGTGCTCATGTCTTGTATGCATGCATTGCCTCACCGGGCCCGCATAACGGAACTTTTATATGTCCTTTCTCCCCCGCCCACAGCTGTTCACACACTTCATGGAGCAGCTCAACGCGGCCATGTATGCAGAGAAGCGCCACATTGTCATACTTCTTGACAACGCGAGCAGCCATGTGCTCAAAACCGAGACGGCGACTGCGGAAGACTTGTTCGGGTTTCGCACCCGCTCGCTCTCCAACATCCGACTCGTCTACCTCCCCCCGAACACCACCTGCTTCACGCAACCCCTCGATCAGGGGCTTATCTCCATGGCGAAGACGCGTTACCGCGCATACTAGCTGCGGGCGTTCACGGCAGAGTGGACCGCGAACGGATCAACGCCCGCAATGACTCGGTTCCGACCCAATCTCCGCGACTCTCTCAAGTGGCTGAGTGATTCGTGGATCACCATCAGCCCGCGCACGGTGCAGCGATGTTGGTGGCGTACCGGTTGCCTCCCGAACGCGTGGGAGATGCAGCTGGAGCATGTCGGCGATGCGGCTGATGCAGACGAGGAGGCCGTCGACGAGCTCGCAGAGGAGCTGGGTGACGTCGGCGCGTTGATCCGGCGTCTCGACCTCGGCTCCAGCGCAATGCCCGCGGAGGAGTTCGTCGCCATTGACGACGACCAACCGACTTGCGCGGAGCCGGGCGAGGACCCGCTCGCCACCGAGCCGCCCACGGAGGCGACGGCCGATTCGTGGGACCCGCCCGTTCCTTTTGCCGGTGTCTACGATGACCTCGACCCGGTTTCCCGCGAGGCAAGGCGCAACGCGCGTGCGGCCTGCGAGATGCTGATCGGGTACTCTCGCGCCGTGGGGATCGAGCCGCGCGACATTAGTAACCTTTTCGACATCCGCAACCCCATTATTGTGGAGCGGCTTGAGAGGGCAAGCCCTCGTCTTGATCTCAACGAGCCTGCCGAAGCCCCGACTCCTGCGCCTGCTCGTCGCGGTCGCGTCCTCCCGATGTGGATGACGAGGCCATCGCGTCGCCAGGAGCTGATCAACGGCAGCATTACCGCCGTCATGGGGGGCTACCCTGAGTCTGCCGAGTGGTTCCGCATCTAAGTGATGCGATGACGAGCACCTGCAGCTGCTGTGAAAATGTGCACAGCTCGTGCACATTTTCACCAAGTCAATGTGACGTGTTATTGACTTCCAGCTGGCCAGCGTGCTTTTGGGCCTCCAAGGTTGGGTAGCCTTGTTATAAATTGCGTCAAATGATGTAGCTGTTGTTGATGCAGCCATAACGAAATCTGGTAACACGGATCATGTGCTAACAACAAATTATGCAATCCATCACTGCATGGGGATAAAACAAACGTGTTACAACCTGTTTCTCTTATAAGCCCACTCACCCATTGGCGAGGGTGGTGAAATTGCTGCGAGAACCAATGCTCGTAAGAGACCCAATTGACGCGCAAAGTTGTGGGTCTCTAACGGGCATCAGGTGTATGTTTGAAGTTACGCCTCATTCTACTCTTCGAGCAGACCGCGCATGGTTCACTCCCCAATTTCTTCGGAACCAATCGTCAGGTACCGCATGTTCGGTTCGAGGACTTCCACAGTTGGCCAACTGTATGGTTCAATTTCTTTGGCGACTTCAATCATTGGACTTCCAGGTGTCTCGGAATCAATCCAATTGGCCGACATTTTACACACGAGCGAACAGTTCGTCCGATAAAACGCATCAATTCTAGTCACTGTAGCAATAAGTTGTATAGGAAGCGAATACACTTTACGCAATTTTGAACTGGCACTACTTTTATGTTAGGTTATCGTTCGGTTACACTGGAATATATACATTAATATAGAATCGATTTCCTATTACAAATCCATCATTTCAATGCATACCTGCATCTATAATTTCAGCGCAAACCTACACTTGCATACAGACTCTTGTGATTTTCTTTTAATGGTTCAGCATAAAGCGCTGATTTATAAAAATATATTCATAACATCAATGACAGTATCAACTAAACAACACTTCTGCAAGCATGAACAATGCTAATAATAATTTGAGTTCTCTAAAAATAGCCTGAGAAAGGAAGACCATCCGCTCCTCAAAAAAGGAAATGTAGGGCCTGCACAACGAAATTGAATGTAAATGGAATAACAAAACATGGTACGATCTTACCAGCGACAACTTACATCGTAAATGATTTTGCGATTACAACCTGCAAGTAAAAAGAGACGACATGAAAGAAGAAACAGGCGAGCTGCAGTAAGAAATCAAGAAACACAAGCAGAAATAGCATGCATGCCATACCACGGCATGCGGCGACCACACTACCTGATGCATCGCGTCGGGCGCCGACGGGCTTGATACAATAGTAATACAGGCTAACATAGTGACGGGATGAGTCGAAGAGAAAACAGCAGCAGCGAAAGGACCCAAGTCAACAATGCATCGAGCACCATGGCACGTACGCTGGGAGATAAACAACACCAGCGTAAGGTTCCAATGCTTCCCTTTCTGAGAATATGGACTGTCGACGTTTACACGTCCCACCTAGTGGCTCAGAAGCTGACGAATGCTGACGGCGAGACTTGGCGATTCTGTAAGTAGCGCAAGAGGAGAGATAAAGGGACGAACGGGACCGGGCAAATACTCAATGCGAGTAATACTCGCTAGTACTCGATGAGCTGAGCTTCACAACAGGCGATCGAGATCGAGCAAGGCAAAGAAGGATTAAAGTTACGAAGTCAGTGCTGCATGTTTCTAAGGTTTCTTACCTTGAAAACTCATGGTGAGTTGAGCTTCGCTGAGAAAAATAAACTGCTACACGGAACGAACATTGACTTCGCGGCTACGGGGACAAAAGTAACAACTAACAACAGAGGGACTGCTTCTCTACTAACAGCTCGTCGAACTGATAAAACGAGAGGCTCGGATTGTGCTCATGAAAAGAAGCGTGATAACGAACAAGCACATACACCCATCACCTGCGAAAGCTGGCGGTTGCCTCGCTGGTACATCAGAATGGCGACAAAACCGCCCACTGCCATACCAGCGTGACAGAATCAGTGAAGTGTTTGAACTAGGAACATTGGGAGTACAAGTAGGAAACCCTAGAGTATTGTACCCCCTAAAGGCTAACCCACTGTAGCCTACACAGCAGTAACATATATAATGTTTGACACACCCCCATAGGCTAAGTGGGGGAGAGCAAGGGGTCACAAGACCAGTCAAGAAAGAAAAAGCAAGCTCAGGGTGGATCACAACGTCACCACACACTCTGAGCACAAGCAAAGGGCCACAAGGCCAGTTCACATGCAGAGGCATATAAGCAACACAAACAACACAGTGATCTCGATCTAACAGAGCAAGCATGCAGGTATATATATATAGAGAGATCACAGTACAGGCAAAGCCTACAGCAAGTGAGGGAAGGTGGGCACAAGCCCTAGCATAGTGCAGAAACGCTGATGATCACCAGACTGAAGTGCCTTGGTGAATATATCAGCAGTGTTGGCCTGAGTGGCCACGTAACGCAGACGAAGCTGACCATGCTGCTGCAACTCTCGAGCCAGGAAGTAACGCAGAGCGATGTGCTTCGTTCTGTGCTCCAGTCTCTGCTCCTCACACAAGGCAATGGCAGCCTTGTTGTCGACGTACAGCACTGGAGGAGAACGAGGCCGCTCTCCCAAGTCAGTCAGCAGGTAGGTGAGCCAGCGCAACTCCTGTGCAGCCATGGCTGTGGCGTAGATCTCAGCCTCACAACTGGAGCTGAGAACTGACGACGAGCGAGTAGAACGCCAAGAAACTGAACCAGAGCCAAGGCTGAAGGTGTAACCCTGTGACGACCGCTGAGTAGCCTGGTCGTCAACCCAAGAAGCGTCTGAGTGCCCAGTGAGAACAACTGAGCTCCTCCCTCCAAGCACTAGCCCCATGCCTGATGTACTGCACAAGTAGCGCAGTACCCTCTTAGCAGCAGCCATGTGCTCAGGTCGGTGCCGACCAGGAGCCACGTAGCGAGCCAGAAGACCAAGAGGGTACGCGAGGTCAGGACGCGTGCAAGTCATCAGGTACATGAGGCAGCCAACTAGCTCTGGGTAAGGACCACTCGGCTCTACGGACTCGTCCGAAGGTGGAGCTGAGAGCGAGTGATCTGTAGCCAGAGGAGTGGCCTGTGCCGAGGACCAGGTGAAGCCGAAGCGCTGAAGGACCTGCTGCACCATGTGTGACTGAGTCAGGGTGATGGTGCGGCGTGCTCTGTCCCGGGTGATCTGCAAGCCAAGGTAGCTGCGCAGTTCACCCAGGTCTGTGCACGTGTGTCTCTTCTGCAGCTTCGACTTTACGTGGGCGAGAGCCTCAGTGTCAGCAGTGGCAAAGACCAAGTCGTCGACGTACACGAGGATGTAGAACGGCGGCAGTGAAGTGTCGGTGCGCAGAAACAGCGACGGGTCAGCAGTAGAAGGCGCGAACCCAAGAGCCGCAAGTGTAGTCCTCAGTGTGTCGTGCCACTCACGTGGCACCTGGCGGAGACCGTAGACCGGCCGCCGGAGGCTCCACTGGGTACCGGGAGGAAACGACCCAGTGAAGCCAGGAGGGCGGCGCAGCCAGATCTCCTCGTGCAGGCTGCCCTGCAGGAAAGCTGTGCTGAAGTCAAGAGAGTGAAGCTCGTAGTCACGCTGAGCGGCAACGTGCAGCAGCACCCGAAGAGTGGTAATCTTCGGGGTAGGGGAGAAGGTCTGGAAGAAGTCTACTCCCTCTCGCTGACTGAAGCCTCGAGCAACGTAACGAGCCTTGAAGACCGGCGGAGAACCTGGCGGCCGCTTCACCCTGAAAATCCACATGCCACTGACAATGTTCGCCCCAGGAGGGGGAACGTCGTCGACGTAAGTGCCAGTGGACTTCCAGGATGCCATCTCTGCGTCCATGGCTGTCTGCCACTGAGAGGAGTACTCACCCGCGATCACCTCAGCGTAAGAGCGCGGGGTCGGGATGTCTGGAGCATCCGGGTCTCCCTCAGGTGCAAGCAGCATGGCCACAAGATGAGGTACAGCAGCGGCAAAGCACTCAAACTCCTCCTGCCTGTCCTCAAGGACGTCCGTGCCAAGAGCACACTCACCCTCGACGGACGGAGGACAGACAGACTCAGACTCAGCAACAAGACTCGCAGCGTAGTCTAGACGACAGTGAGCAGCAAAGTCGACAAGCTCAGCAACTAAGGCAGACGCAGCAGCTGACTCAAAGGAAGGGTCAGTGACAGCAGTGGCCAGGAGACGCGTGACAGTAGGACTAGCAGCACGAAGAGAGTCAGACTCCGGGTCAGCAAGGGCAGGAAGAGAGGACGCAGGAGGAGAAGGCAGCGGGACACGCTGCGGAGCAGTGGAAGGACGAAGCGCCATTTGGTGAGTGCCTGGGACAGCAGGAGGACGCTGACGCGGGACACGACGACCTGTGCGAGCAGCAGGAACAGGTGACGCAGAACGAGACTCAGGCGACACAGGACGAGACTCAGGCTCACGACGCTCCGTAAGACCGCCTGTCGGACCAGTGTAGGGAGAAGGACCAGGGAGTGGCGAGGCAGGCGGTAGCTGTGACTGCGACTTGACAGGCGGAGGACACTCTAAGGAGGGAGCACGACAGGGAGGAGGCGGCTGACCAAGAACCTGCTGAAGAAGGGGAACGAAGTACGGCTGTGGTCGTGAAGTGCCCCCAGAACCAGCAGAGACAGCACCAGAACCTCCGGCAGCACGAGCTCCAGCCGCACCGTCGGCTCCAGCACCCGCAGGAGGACGAGCGCCAGCACCTGCAGCACCAGCCCCTGCAGCACCACCAGCCCCAGTACCAGTAGTACCACCAGCGGCCCCAGCAGCTCCAGTACCTCCAGCAGCACCAGCAGCACCTCCAGCAGGACCAGCACAAGCAGCACCTCCAGTAGCACTAGCAGTACCTCCAGCAGGACCAGCACCAGCAGCACCTCCAGCAGCTCCAGTACCTCCAGCAGCACCAGTAGCACCTCCAGCAGGACCAGCACCAGCAGCACCTCCAGCAGCTCCAGTACCTCCAGCAGCAGCAGGGCCTCCAGCGGGCGGCACCTCAACACTAGGAGCTCCAC